TTTTTAGTGCTTAAGCCCCCCTAATGTTTTTTGGTGATTTGCGCCTATGCCCCTAGTTGTACCTTTTGGCCACTATTTAAGATTTTATCTTAAAGTTGTAAATGGCTCGTCRGCGTAGACGCGTAGTGCTTTCACGCGCGTGAATAACGCCGCGTTGTAATAAATTACAAAATCACGCGAYGTGAAGATAACACTTTCTGTTTGACAGAGCCTTTACGTTCGAAAACTAACATTAATTCTCACTGAATGTCTATAATATGAAAATTTAACTTTAAAAATATGTGCTGATGTGTGTAAAATGTAGGTACTAAATATCATTAATACCTATTATTATAATCATGCATAGATTTCTATAAATTACGTTTTATATTTTTAGTTCAACTTATTTACTTATGGGCTATTATTATTCAACCGCGGTCCACGGTACAAATTATAATTAGAAATTAGAATACATTTAAACACGTCCGTTCCATAACCTAACCTAGGAGGTATATGTTTTATGATTTTCAAAAATTATTTATTCCCTATGTTTCTATTTTACAAAAATCTATGAACTTAACACATTTATTCATTTTCAAAAAGTCACGAATGGCAGCATAAAGATTAAAGAGCGAATGACAATTTTTTATTATAATTAAATGGTTAGGTACCATTATAGTTACATTAACTGTAATAGTAGAATTATTGCTAAAAATTAGTATTTTGTTGTGTATAATAACTGGTTGTCATTGTTTAATCGTGTAGGTGAGATAAAAGCATACATCAAATTTACGCTCTCTTTAAYAATTTATTAGATGCTCCTGATCTTCTCAGTTCTCACTAGTATTTGAGTATTTATTTTAAAGTTCCTTTCTTCAAACCAGAAATTAAACTACTTTTAARTTCCATCTCACCAAACTTTTCCTATAGCAATAATTATCCATGGCATAGAATGCTTAGATTGGAGAATCAAGAATGAATGATGCTTGCCTATACCTTAAATACTATTACGTGCGAGAGTATGAACTTATTACTTCTCATACAATTATTTTATGGTTACTACTTATTACGAGACTCAAATGATTATTATCTAATATTACTATATATAACCTTTAAATTCGTATAAATTATTACTTATTGATATAAATATATTATATTTATTATTGTTTCACTATTTCTGTAGGTATTAGGTTTATCATAATATATTCATACATTTTGRTATTTTTGAATCACAAATTCAATTTTTCAGTTGAAATAAGGTTTATCCGAAATTAGGTTAAATGTTATAATAACATCAAATATTCTGTAGTACACGCAAACGCCTMTTAAACCTGATCGACATAAATATGAGACTT